TTTTAAGAGGCTGAAATTCATCTGAGGCATTCATGAGTTTTCTTTTCCTTTGAAAAACTTGTAAGACTCTTCGTTTGTTGAGTCTTGATATTAATAAAGGTTAGGATTTTTCCTGTATGTTGTTCAATATTTATTATTACTATACAGTGCAAAAAAATGAGATAGACTCTAGACTTGAACAAATTCGTGAGGGTTGTGAGGCTGAAGCTTGCAACCAAAGTATGACCGGAACCGAGTATCTCTGTCACTCACAATGTTATGTTAAAAATTAAAATACTTAATCACATTCTTATAAAATAACTCAGCATCAACTTGAGATGAACATAAATTAGGATTAGCAACAAAGACTGAGTATTTTAAAATCTGTCTACTACCACAATTGTAGATGCCATACCATTAACTTTAGGAAAGGCCAAATGAAGTTCATGCTTACAGAGAACCGTGGCTGTTCTGGAATAGGCAAGGACTGCAGCAACAAACTTCCTTCTTATATTCAGTCTTGTCCACTTTGCAAACATTGAAAGTGTTTACGTACGCTTCAATGTTAGATATCTACTCGAAATCATAGAGCTAAAAACTGTTCAACTCCTAGATGACCAGCACAAGAAGTGTCACGGGCCTCTTTCATCAAGTTTTTACACAGTCCATCACCATCTAGTATCACGATCCTCCTTTTTAAGATAATGAGGATCGTCCTTGATCTAGTACCTCCTCATTGTCTCTTCTTGAATTTTACTCATCAACTTGACATATAGTTAGTCATTCAAAACTCGGAATCTAGTTATATCAATTAAATCAATCTCAAGTTTAGAAATGGAATATACAACATTGAATGCCTCTTTATTGCTTAAGGAATCTACAATTTGGTTTTGCTTTGCCGGATTATGTTCCCACATAAAATCATATGCTACCAAGAATTCCTGCTACCTTGCTTGTTTGGACTTTAATTTTTCTATGTCTTTAAAAATGTCTAAACCTGCAAATAATGTACAACAACAACTATATCTTACTCATGAGTGGAATATTTTTTCCCTGCATCATTCAACTTTCTACTTTTGAAGGTCAAACGATTACCCTCTTGCACTAATGCGCCTCCAACAGCCTTTTCCAACACATTAGTATGCACTTCAAAAGACAACTCAGAGTCTGGTACCCTAAGTATTGCAAGGACACAATGCCTTCTTTTAATCTTTGAAAATTTCCCTCACATCTCACTGACCAGTCCCACTTGACGTCTTTCTTTAATATATCATTCAATAGTGAAACGTTTTACAAATATACAGAACTAAACTTTCTGTTATAGTTAGCCAATCCTAGGAATTACCTCAAATGTTTCACGTTATATAGTTCCTTCTAGTCAATAATAGCCTGCAATTTCTTCGGATCCATTTAATCCAGATTAACACTAACTAGGTTCCCCAAAAACTTTATCTCTTTTTTGAGTGAAATCACATTCTCTACTTTTACCTAATGTTTATAATCCCTCAATCGAGAAAGAATAATACTCAAGTGTTTCACAGGCTCATTCAATGTTCGGCTATAAATGGCGATGTCGTCTAAACGAACAACTACAAATTCATTAAGATATTCAAATAAAACATCCTTCATTAAGTTGAAGAATGTCTACCCTCCAAACATGCAAACAATGTACAACAACAACCATTTCTTTCTCATGAGTGGAATACCTTTGCTCCGCACCTCTCAAATTTCTACTTTCAAAGGCCACAAGATGATCTTCTAGCAATGATACACCTCCAACAGCCTTGTCCAATGCATCTGTATGAACTTCAATAGGTAACTCAAAGTTTCTCAGCCTATGTATTGGCTCCGATGCAATGTCTTATTTCAAATTCTAAATAGCTTCCCCATATATCATTGACCATACCGACTTGACAAAATTTCTTTAATAAGTCAGTAAATATTGTATCCCTTTTTAAATACTGAGCAAAACATAGGGTAATAGTTATGCAATTCTAGGAATGACTTCAAATCCTTAACGTTGAATGGTGCCTACCACTCAACGATGGCATGCAGTATCTTCAGACCTCTTTTTGAAAAAACTCACACGTCTCTATTTTTGCATACCTCAACAGAGGCAGAACCATACTTAAGTGTTCCACATGCTTATTCACTATATGGCTATAAATGACTATGTCGTATAAATAAGCAAATACGAAATAAACAACATTGTCAAACAATACATCATTCATTAAGTTGTGGTAAGTATCCAGGTCATTGGTTAGCACAAACAACATTACAGGAAATTTTAAGAACCATATCTAGTTACACAAGTTGTCTTAGGCTGATCACTTTCAGCGATTCTAACCTTCCAGTAGCCTACCTTAAGGTTTAGCTTTAAGAACCAAGATGCTTGCTCAGCCTGTCCAACAAATCTTACATTAATGGAACTAGATATTTTTTCTTCATAGTCACCTTATTCAATGCCCTATAATCCACATACATCCTTAACATCACACCCTTCTCCTTTTTAAATATAAAAGGCATACCATAAGGAGTTATAGATGACTGAATCAGTCTAGCACCCAATACTTTGTTTAACTATTTGTGTAACTCCTCAGGAGCCATCCGATAAGGAGCCTGCGCAGAAGCAATTGAATCTATTGGCAACTCGATTTTATGATAAATATCTCTCCTTGGTGGCATCTTCATTGGAAGTTCAGCTGGCATAACATCAAAAAACTCCCTTGACACTCTAGCTAATCAATTAGGCACCACTACTGTAATGTTAGGCTTCAAAAATAAGTTCATCTCCCATCCTTAAGCCTTTGCCAACCGAAATAGAAGAAAACAATGAACCCTTGAAGCCTTACCAAAACGATGATTACTCTTAATGAAACAAGGATTGCCATCGTTCATGATCATTACCCCATCTAATTAAGGAAGAGGAACAAATAGAAATTTCCTCAAGAATTCCATCCCAAAAATGACTTCAAAGTCACCTAGAGGCATCACTATCAAGTTGTTTTTACCTACCCAATATTTAGTCGGACCATCCAACTTGAATGCTTCAACTGTAAAACCAACGAATGCTTCTAAAACAGTATTTTATGATCTTTTTTCTTTGTCCAAAAGTCTGATGGTCCAGAATCTTCTGAAGTTGTTCCTCAAACTGCGTCCATACAATAGGAGGAACACATCTAGTAGCTTACATTATTGGATCCTCAAAATCCTCATGAAAGGGTTCCAGAAAACTGACTCTAAATATAGGGTGAATCTTCAATCTTTTTTGCAAGTTCAACTTTATGAATTTTCATCAACTCTCTCAAAGACTATAAACGGTCAATCATATTTCAAAATCAGCCACGATGAATTCTCTTGCTGCTGACTTTCTTCATGATTTGTGGAGTAAGCTTCACCAAAACCTTTATCTCCAACATGAAATTCTAAAACACGATATTGTTTGACAACATACTTTTTCTTTCTCTTCATTGCCTTCCTCAAGCTAGCTTGCACCTCATCCAACATCTCTTGTCTCACGCATACCTCTAAGCAAACAGACATTTAGCATAGGACATAGATTTAGTGAATTCTAATAAAATATTGGGATTCCACACCATCTCGGTAGTTTTCACAGGAAAAGATTACCACGTAAGAATTTTATTCTAGAGTTTAGCCCACTGGGCGGCAGTCAAGTCCCTTGCCTGACTCAGCCTGCTTGCACTTAAACTTGCATGTTTTCGACAACGCCTAATGTTTGGACATAGATTATTTTTGATGCTAGAATTGAAGTGAACACCATGTATGAGTGAACCTAATCGTTATCTTAATTTTAAATAATACAAAATACCCTCAGTTTTTATAGGAACAATTCTACCTTAACTTTGACTTTGATTTAGGCACAATCACAAGTCGATTGCTACTCGTAAGCACTCTTGACACCCTCACATTTCTTCTTGGTGTCCTTCCTAAAATTCTGGACCTGTTTCTTCCCTCTTTAACTAATAATTTTCCTTGTTGACTTAGAGTTAAAATTTTCCTTTGGGTTTTCACCCTCATTGAAGTTAGACAACTTAATTGCCGCCACAATAGCAGAGCTTATTCTTCAAAGATTCTACCTCCTCAACTCTATTTCTGCCTACCCCTTTAAACTGCTCATGAAATAGTGCAAGTTGTCTTCTTCTACCATTTTAACTATATGGAACATCAAGCACCACAAGTCCTATACAACTGACCTCACTATGCCACTTTGTTTCAATCGTTGCAACCCATCCTTACAATCTAAGATGAGTTTCTTGGAAGGAATTGAGTTTTTAACTCCTTCTTCGACACTTCCCCATTTCAATTCATGGAAGGTTAGTGATTTCCACTACCACAACACTAGTTCTTCACCAAACTTTGTCATCATTAACAAGTACATAGTTGTAACCAATACCTTTTCACCGTCCAGAACATTGACTACCATGAAATATTTTTTTGTATCACACAAAATATTTTTCAGCTCTTTCGCGCTTCTCATACTATTGTACGCCTTCAGTTATTGTACATCCAGCTTTGTGGGGTTGATAGTTCCTCGTAGAGCCCGATGAAGAAGAACTTCACTACACATATTTTGCTTCTCCTTACGAATAAGTTTCATTCCTATTTCGTCGTCTTAAGCCCCATGGATCTTTAAATTTTTAATTTACAATAAAGTATAATAATATATTAAACAAAAAAAATCATAAAAATACATCAATAGATTGAAATAATTACGAATATGATTAAGAAAATCCATAGAAAATAAATGAGAAAATGATCAAATGACCCCCAATATATTAGTCAATTCTCGATTACACACTTATATTTTACGGGGATCCTATTACCCCTCAAGGTTTTTTTAAAGTGGAATATATTTTTCCTTAAAAGGTCACAGATTTGTGGTAAGTGGTGGGCTGCACGCGTGACGCCACGTACATATATTGTACTTTTTTTATTAAAATATTGTTATCTACTTATTATTATATTTCCCTCGAATATTTGTTTTCTTTTATATTTCAGTCCATTCTTCTTTTCTTTGACAAAAATTTATGCCATAAAAGTGGAAAGTCCAAGTTCCATTTCTAAAACCTCAAAAACATCCGTCTCTTAATCTTCATTGGAATTATATTTGGAGAATTTCTCTATTTTTTATACAAGTAAGTCTTGAATTTGTAGGTTTAATATTTTGAATAAGATATGAATTTGATCGGTGAAATCATTGAAATTTATGGATTTTTGAATTCATAATATTGATTTTGCTCACAATAAATTAAAAGGAGAAAATCTTCTGGGTTGCTCATGTTAAAGAATTTGATGTTGATATACTTGTATAGTAATTACTAATCAACTTCCGGATCTGATTCAAATATGGGTTTCTTCAATTTTGTGCCTTTTATACTTGAAGGAGTAAAGATTTAGCTGTAAAAGATACTAATTTTGCCTTTCATGCTTTGTTAGTTTATTTACTCAACGTGGGTTTTCTCCATATTGTTCAATTTTATGTTCTTGTGCTTCAACTTATCAATACTTAGCAATGCAAAAATGTTGATTTTTAATTTGATCTCATATTTTTCAAATTTTTTCAAGTGAAGTCAATTTCATTCAAAAAAAGAAAAAGAAAAGAGATAGCATTAGCAGTAACTATTATTAATAACAAGGTGATTTCTTTTTTTTTAGATAAATCATGCGAAGTGTTGAAGAGTTAAATAAAGAAGATAAAGAAATTAAAATGGAAAAGATAAATAAAAGTAAAAAGTAGCATACAAATTTTATAAAAAAAATTATCAGAAAATTAGTATAAAATAGAAAAAAAAGAAAGTTTGCGCCTATCTCTTTGAGAAAGTGCACTACACTTTCTTTGCCAACTTAGCATTAGGGAGCAAATAATTCTGCTATAAAATAGTTGAAGGAGGTAAATAGAACCCTCTAAAAATATAAGTGTATAGTTGAAAATTCGCTAATAGAATGAGGTCATTTGGCCATTTTCTCAAACTAAATCTCCTAACATAATTATACACGTACAAATAATGTAATGATATAAAAAGTATTGAGTTGCAAATCAACTCTAGCATCTAAACTTTTAATAATACAATAATGGAAAAATTCATAAGTATTCAGCTAGACTACGATCGAAATTCCAGACAAACTTTAACTGGACTAAGGTTCTATACCCCCTGACTTATTCTTTTTATAATTTTATACACCTTTTGTCTTACGTAGTACACTCCGTGATTCCACGCCATTGAGACAACATATTTGAATGTCACGTAAGCCAAAAGGTGCACAAAATTTTAAAAAAAAGTTCTGGGGGGGAGGGGGAGAGGATCTTAGTTTAGTTAAGGTCTGTCAATGAGATTTTTGTCATAGTCTAGGAGGGTATCTCCGAATTTTCCCTAAAATAATCAATTTTTGTAAAAATAAATTATTATAATGACACTATAAAATTTACTGGCCTAAAAGAAAATAATCAATAAATGTCATTAGTTCATCATGAATAAAAATAAAATTACTTTCAAATACATAATTAATAAAATATAAATATTTTGAGACATTTAAAAAAATATAAAGATGAATGGTAAGTGAAAAAGTAGTATTTTGCAATATTATTTTTACGAGAAAAGTTATGGAATATATAATCACCCTCGAAGTGTTACAAAATAGTAAAGATATGATACTACATTTTGTTATTTGTGTTGCTCTCATTCTTCTTATTTCAATAAATGTTTTTTAATAAACTATTAAGTATCATTCATTAATTTAAGAATTATGAGGATAAACAATATTAACTTAAAATTTAACACATAATATTGTAAGATTTTTTAAGCAAGTCCTATGAATTAAGGATCGAGTGTTCTTAGGGTGCACAGTCAGGTGATTATTGCGCAGGTCTTACAGAACTATGCCCCACACTTAAGTTCTGGGCCATTTTTCTAGAGCCCGGCGTTGAGGTGAGCGCCGAGGTGAGTCCAGCAAGTCCAATAGGGTCTTTTATAATACCGATTTGTATTTTGGAGTAGTCTGGTTTATTATTTGCCAATTGAATCCTTAAACTCAATTCGTCTTAGACTTTTAAACCCCTACAACCACGTGTATAACTCACTCTCCCTTACATCAATGACATTTTACATCCACATCACATATATTATTGTTATGTCATAATTATCTTCATAATTACTGATAAAAAATGTAAAATAAAAAGAAAAACTAATAAGTTTTCTATTTAATAAATAAATAAATAAATAAGATGACCGTTTCCTCACCTTTCTTTCATCTCACCTCACCTTTCACAAACACCATCAATACCATCTCCATACCCCTTATTATTTTTTTCTTCATTTTCCTCAAAGTAAAAGAGGAATATATGACAACTCATTTATTTTTCATTACAAAAGATTGCCTTTGCTTGAGGTTCCCTTTATATTTATTCTTCACAAATATTTGTTTATTTTTGGGGTTGTGCGATGTTTAAAGCATTTATGGTTGATCTTGTTGGTTGGAAATGCTTGGTTTATCTTGTTGATAAGAAACGCTTTTCATTGAAAATATTGAGAAAATTTAGGAGACATAACTTTATTAGAAGAAATTGGACAAATCTGCTAAAATAATTTGGGAGCATTTTTAGGGTCATTGAAAAAGATTGACAAAAAGAGCACGCATTGTCAAATATAGAGCTCAACGTAGAAAATATATATTCTTATTTACTCTCCTCTCAATATATCTTCACCGTCCATCACACAAACCACCACATAAAAACTATTAAAAAAAACCATAGCCACAAGAGCAAAAAACCCACCAAAAAGATCAACATTGATGGTCAATTCTCTTTACGCATCAAAAACCTTCATTGACACCGCCAAAACTAACCAAAACACCTAACTATTAAAGGAGGATCACTGGAAAAACTAGGGTGGAGATGTAGTGGAAGAAAAGGGAAGGTTCAAAACTTTTGTTTTTTCCTTTTCATTTTTTTGTAACTTAATTTTTTGAAAAACAAATTTGTTGCTTCCACTCACTTTTATAAGTGTGATGCCACAAGCTATAACTGAGTCAACTAAATAAATGCCAAATAAGCTCGATCAATTGTCAAATGATTTTAAAAGTCTCATTTTTATTGACCTTAAGAGTTCTATCAGCAAACGATTAAGTATAATTTTCTACAATACAAACTCATACGAGACAAGTGTTTATCATACCATTTTGCATTAAATTAGGCTTGACCAGTATTATCATTTTGTCAAAAAGAAGAACTGATCACTTGAAACTGGAGGGTTCATACACAAAAATATTGTCTAGAGTTCCACTCTTTTTTTAAAAATTGAAATTGACCTATTTTATTTCGATTTATACCTAGTGATGAAGAAGAAGACCCACTAGATCTAGAAAAATGGTTTTGTTCTTTTGTCCCTCCTGTCTCATTGCCTTCTTCTCATTGCCTTCTTCATTATTTGGAGCTTTCTAAAATCTAAAGTAACATAAGAAATATTTATTCTATTATTTTCTTTTCATTACTTATTCCTTATTAACTATTCCTTTCAAACATGTCAAAAATATATTTGATATGTTTCTTTTTTCTTATCTGGAAGGCTTGTAGCATTTCATATTTAATATATTCAACAGGTTTTTGTTTTGTCACTATGTTGATGAAAACATGAATTTGTTGCTTGTAAAGTCCTCCTAAAAGAAATTTTTATGTGATATGTTAGATAAAATATATTGGTGTTAGGTTTCACATTTTTGTTTAATCCTTTTTTTGTTGAATCATTGGACTTTCTTATTTGATGATAGAACAATTCAGGAATTACATAAAGCAATTACGAGAGGAAACAAGTGAAAGATTATTAAACGTTGCTTATCGACCTAATGGAACTCCAAATAAATGGTGGCTAGCATTTGCCAAGAGGTCATTTCTTAGCTCGCGACCAGTTGTGCATGCAGAGGAGGATATTGAAATTAACACTTCTATAGAGGAATAACCATGTTTCCATGAAAGGATAATTATGTACACGTTAGAAACTTTCTTTGGAGCATTAATTTGTGTCACTTAAACTACAAGTGTAAATTTTGACACAGTCAGATATTTCACTTACTTGTCGAATTTCACATATGGTTTTCACTTATTAATATGCAATTTCATAATTGTTCTATAATGATCCTTCTATTTATTTTCTCTTTTGTCTTATATTTTCTATGTTTAGACCTAGCCTGTTGTATCCCCAACTAATTTATGACTTTCTGATACTTTTTGTCTTTAATAAGTTATTTAGGTGTTTAGGAGAGTTTTCCTATTGTGGAGATTTTGAAGATTAGATATTTGACTTCGGTCACAACATCAAGCATACAGACTTTAGATTTCAATAATGATTGTTACAATAACTCTAAAACACCGATTATAGTCAAAGAATTTGTCACTCAAGTTCCAGGGCTTCTGGCTAGTTTTGAGCTTCGTTGTGAATTGAAGCTAAAATGGGACTATGTGATGTGGGGCCACTTTTGTTTAGATGACCTTCGATAGAAGTTTTGGTGGTTCATTGAATTTGTAATGTCAATTTTTTTTGATAAAGTGGATAGTTTGTATCAACAGTGTTCGAAATGAATCCAGGCATCTAACGAACATTGGAGCTTTGCCTGTGTTTTGGCTTTGCTAGTGCTAACATTTTTTTCATCACGATCCTGACCCCTTATCTCCCAATAAGGGTGAGTAATTTATTTTGTTAATTGTGATCATGACCCCTTGGGCTTGCGATACTAATTAACAATTTATTGGAAGGTCGGTACTCTCTGATATTCTGGTAAGTTTTCGTCAATTCTAATTTAATATTCCTTTTAAAGTGTGTTCTTTAAAGTTAACTTGTGGGTTTTAATTTTGATGGATTTAGTGGTTCGAATTGTGCCCAATTTTGGAGCACAAGTTCCTCAATATTTTAGGTACCTACTTATTGGTACAATTTCACAAATTCAATAATGTGTTCCACTAGACTACTTTTGACATGATTTTGGACCTGTGATTTATGATAGCAATATGAGTATTATTGTTCTTATAATGATCAATATGTTACAATATTGATTGTGGTGTGGAATTTTTAGACATGAAGAGTAATTGGGTAGCTCGTGGACAGTCTAGCATTGGAGTTTGGCTTCTTGATAGGCTAAAATATACTTTTTTAAAACTAAGCTTTATGTGATAATTCTTGGATTAGGTTGCATCTGGGATAGGATTATATATCATGGGTTAAGAATTATTTACATACGCCTATTTTCTTAAATCACTGTAAAGGCCTTAGACTAGTATTAATTAGAAAAATATGTAGCTAAGGCTTGAAATTTCGTACATATGGCTTAGCTTGGTATTGTTGGACTCTTCGGAGATGATGTTTGAGACTTTAAAATAATTTGGTAATCTAGGTTCTCTATATTGTGTTTTTCATCATCCTTTAGCTAATATAATTGTTCCTTGTTGTAAATTATCATGGTTTTGTACCCTTCGCTAGTGGGAGACCATGGTTTGCTTTCCTATTGTGGGAATTTACCTTGAATAGACCAGTAAACTTGACATTGATCCCTAACTTTTACAAGGCTACGGAAAATTTGTGGCTTGTTCTAGCTGTACGTTAACATTAGTTCTACTGAGTGTTTACTTTACTAGTACCTTCAGGTAAAGTTTGAGATCCTTGAGTTACTTTTCCAGTAGTTGATTTTTATAATATCCTTCTATTTCATGAGTAGTGGTGATCATATTTTTTTGTTGCGTATGTAATAATCAGATAAAAGCCTTATAATTCAATGTGTAGGTGGTCGTTATCAATATAAAATCCGACAAGGAGTTTGGATTGAATCCCACAAGGAATGGTATAAAAAGATTCACCTTAGCATGACTTTTTTATGTTTGATTGATTGATTTAGTCACAGAACTAAATTCGAGAAATTTATATTATTTATTAGGAGGTAACTAATTATTTGTTAAAAATAAGCTTAGAACATGGAAATTTAACATTTGATTAAGAAGTAACGATTCATCATTGTTAAAATTATGCCCAGTCTTGGGGCACAAGTTCTTAGGGCTATTTGAGAATTTGCAATATAGTAAATTTTGTGATTACGTGCATAAGTCCTATCATGGTATTTTTTGGTCGTTTTTGCATTTTTGTATTTGTATGTAACAATCATCTATGTAATAATCAGCTGGAATGGTAGGGAAACAATTATTTTTGTTGCTTATGTAATAATCAGTTACAAAGCTTATAATTCAATTTGTAGGTGGTCGTTATGAATATAAAATCCGACAAGAATTTTGGGTTGAATCCCACAAGGAATGGTATGGAAAGATTCACCTTTGCAAGACTTTTATATGTTTGATTAATTGATTTAGTCAAAGATAAATTCAACAAATTTAGATTATTAATTAAGAGGTAATTAATTATTTGTTATAAATATGCTTAGAACATGAAAATTCAATATTTGATCAAGCAATAACGCCTCATCATTGTTCAAATTATGTCGAGTTTTCGGGCACAAGTTCCTTGAGCTATTTGAGAAGTTGCAATATAGTCAATTTTGTGGTTACGTGCATAAGTCCTACCATGGTATTTTTGGGTCGTTTTTGCATTTTTTAATTCCTTTATTTATATGGGTATCTTTTTTCTTGCTTTCTTCCTCGTCGTATTTTTTATTGTGAAGCATCTTTGAGAGTCCTTTCATGTAATGAACTCAAAATCATTTTTGTGTGTTTGACTCTTATGAAGTATTTATAGCTTTCCTATAGTTACCTCAAGTTATTTATGACTTACAGGGACTAAAAGTTAGGTGACCTGTTCATTCATCAAGTTTTATAAGACTTTTAGAGATTCTAAACCATCAATGGTCATTTTTCGTCAAAAGTTTAGGAAGATGACCTCACAATCAAATTTTAACGATTCCATCAGCTGCGAAAGCGTCATTTTAGGCTAGTAGGATAGTGAGCATTACTCCCAAGGCTTTCAGTATAGGTCTATGTTATTAGGGATTTTAATATTCATGGTGAGGCCTAAGTTTTACTTTATTTTACATTCTGAGTAAAAAGGATCAGATATGAATTTTGTCAGTGTGGTTATCTTTGGAATGTTGAGTTCTCTCTAGAATGACCTCTCATTATGTCCAGAGGCTTTCGACCTAATTCTAAGACTCCTCATGGTTTTTGGCTACAATGTAAACTAGTTGTGGGACCCACATTTTGTTGAAACAACCTCTTTTGGGGAATTTTGATTGTTCCATTGAGTTTGAAATACCAAATCCGATGGGGGTAACATAGTTCATTTGCACCTAAGGGATTCCAAATAAATCCCTGGTACCCCATTAAAGATTGGAGGACTTCCACTTTGTTGTCAGCTGAGGCTTGCCTCACGTTCGTGCACATGGCCCCACAATAGCGAGCAGTTGGTGCCCAGTCGTGTGCATTTGTGCGAGGATTGTTGTGTTTGCAAAGAACCAATTAGCCTTATGTTTGTGTGCGGGCTGTTGTGATCGCAGCCAGTGATAGGGTGTGGCGTCACATTTGTGAGAGGCTGCTTTGCATTCAAGCATGGCCACCTTACAGTCATGAATGCCACCAACTTGTCCTCCATATTTAAGGCTCGTTCGTGACCAGCCTTGGAAACAACTGGTATTTTAGTGAATTCTCCTCCATTTGAATTCTGATTTTAGTTATTCAAAGTCCCACACACTATTAATTTCAAGGGAAACATGGTGGGTTAATGGAATTGTGTTGTTGAAATTCCATTTGAGGTAATTTTGTTGTTTAAGCTTCTTCCCCTTCTCATTTAAATTTGTGGTTTCATTGTGTGTTGTTGTATCCATTGTTTTAGGCTCGAATTGTTCCAAATTTTATGATACACGTTCAAGGTAATTCTTGTGGATGAGTCTATTCAAAAATTTCTGGCATGGGTCCCATCATTTAGGCATGACTTTAAAATTGGTCCGTCCCTATTTTGGGTTATTTTACTGTCTCTGTGACCGTATTGACATTGTAATCCTATTCTTGAAAGAAATTGAAGTGTTAAGAGGTAGTTATGAAGGAAACCTTTCTGGCATTATGATTTAGAGTGTGTGAGGTTGGCCAACAACTAGGCTATGACTTTCTTTCTAATATTAAGCATGAAGATATCAATCCCTGATGAATAATGTAAATTGGGAGAAGGTACGTAGTCATTCATGTTTTTCTTCTTAGAAACCATGATTTAGGGTTGATTACTACCGTTTTGAGGCTAGTACCATGACTACCTGGGGTTGTATGTTTGTTTTTCCACATGTTATGTTATGTACTTATTTTACGACACATTTCATAAAACATGTTTGGACTTAGAATAAGATAGATTAGGGTTTCCTTAGACTTGTGAACCTTGTGACTTTGGTATGTCTCCGTTGTCTCTCAAATAAATTAGGTCCTTGTAAACTGAAATAACAAACATGGGTCTCATAGTGTTGGCATCAATAAAGGAATATTTAAATATTCTTATCCCTTTTGTTTTCTATTCCTACTTTTGTGACTTTGATATGTTATAAGAGATTATGTGCCTTCTCAGGATTGAAGTACCTCATGCATGGAGACTTTTGTGAAATCTTTGGGAGTTGATGTGATCAATAGTGTCTTTGAGCCTACTTGAGATATTCTTCAAAATTTATATGCCCTCGAGTTAGTATTACTAGACGGGTGGTCTGCGCCGCTAGGGGTGAATTTTTGGGTAGGAGGTCTAAATATTAGAGATCCTTACAGAGTTGATACACCTCTAAATCACTATTGTTAGCTGCGCGGCTTAGCCCCTGCGAGTGGGCTGTCCAACGTGGCATCCTAGGTTGATAGTCACTCTTGCTTGCTGGGTTGGGAGTTTACTTTATCTTTATTACTTGGGCATGGAGCTCGTATGATTTTCTTTAATTCGGATATGGGTTACTCTTGTGTCATGTAGACTTAGCTATTCAATGTGCATGTCTAGCTTATGTGGTCTGGTTCGAGTTCTATTCAAACATGTGCACACATTTACCTTTTAGGTCTTTAGGGTTCATTTAGGCTTATTTTAGATGTACATAGATCTAATTTCGGTATACTTGTGTGGCTTATTTTCATATCCGCTTTGTCCTCTATTAGTGTCCTCATTTTTCCTTATAGTGTCCTTTT